TACTTCCTTGCTTTCTGGCACATAGATTTATCTAGTTTGTTTGTTTGTTTGTTTCCTTCCCCAGTCCTGGAATCAGGCATTCTCCATGGAACCTGGATCCTTTTATTGGAAAATGGCCTAATATCTGGGTGTTTATCCTAAAACTGGCAACAGAAAAGAAATGTACAAAAAGACTGTCCTGCACATGTGCATTCGTGATTTTAGCTCTCAAGAACTGGCACTGTACAATACAAAGTGGATTATGTTTTTATCTTTAGGTTTAATTTAAAATGGGGAATTTTGATTTTCTGAAATATTTAGAAGTCATTAGATCTTGTGTCAGATTTACAGGTAAAATTTATGAGTAACCTTACAAGCATATGTAATTTCCCTCACATGTGATATTTCTCAATAGGACACAAGACCTTACACAGAGTTAAATTTGGAGAATTCACTATTTTAGGGGGACACTTAAAACTTTCCATTTTTAATTGATTATATTCACACAAGATTGAGACATCGTGGAAATTATTTACTGAGACACTGTGCCTGGTTCACATCATGTTTAATAAGCATCAAGTGTGTTCAAGTATGGGGACCCAGGCTGAGCACGGCATGGTATGATTCCTCTGAGCAGCATACAGAATTAAAACGCCCCTGAGGCTCTATTTTTTTTTTTTTTTACCCTGATCAATTTTGCTTCAGTTTTCCCTGGTTTGGGTAAGCTTATTTTTTTTCCTCTATGTATCCATCTTTTTTTTTTTTTTTTTTTTTTTTTTTTTACAGTCCCTCTCCCCCCATCATCATTCTTCTACTCCATAAGTCCTTTCCCTCTTCTGCAGTCTATATTCCTCAGTTTTAAAATTCTGCTGAAATGGATCCACCTTCAAGAAGCCCTCCCTCCATGATCCAGGCTCATCCGGTTGTATCTTTCTCCTGCCCCGCGAGGCCAAGGCTCTTTGGTCCCCCAGGCATCTCAGGTTCAACGGGAGCGGGTGTAACCCATCTTCCTGCCCTCACCCCTCCCTGTCCGACTCGTCTTCCTCCAGTGCTGCTAGTATCCACCCCGGAGCCCACACCAGGCGCCTGAGGGGCATCTGAGGCTCCTCTGCTGTCCCTGTCCCCAGACGCAGTGGTCAGGCAACTGTTTCCAGTCAAGGCCTGTCTCTTCCTTATCTCAGTCACCATCTGTCTGCAGTGGGTCCCCTGAAAGAAGACCCGGCACAGGGATTTTGGTGCGGGTATCTCCTGTGAGAGATGCTCCCAGGGAGTGCTGTGAGGGAGTCGGGAAGCGAGATAAGGGAAGGGGGAGACGGTAAGAAGCGTGCAAGTGAATGCCTCACTCCTGAGGGCCACCGGGGACCAATCCACGGGACCCCCGTCGCTGAGACATTTTTAGGGAACATGCCTCAGAACTGCCTTCCTGAGGCATGAGGAAGCTAGGGTATTTAATCTCTTGATTTAGGCCCTCTTCTGGGGTCAGAGCAGGTCCTGAACAGAGACCTGCCACCTGCATGCGTGGGGACCGTCTGGGGAGATCTTCGGGGAGGGGACATTCTGACAGCAGTGACTACACCTTGAGTGTCCCCTCGCTGGTTGTCCTGCCATGTCTTGCACCCTCCCACCCCCAACTCCCTCCATAAGTGATCATTTTAAAATGCCTAATAGATCAAGGTACTCACCTGCTTAAAATCGTCAGTGGCTATCCACTGCTTTCCGAAACATCCAAATGTCCTGGCTTCCCGTGCTAGGGCTCTGCATCAGTTCACTCCCGGCCGCTCTTCCAGCCTCGCCCCCCAGCACTTGATCCGGACTCAAGGGTGCAGGGACACTGCACTAGCTGTGGCTTCTCTCTCGAGCCACACTTGCACTAGCGCTTGCTCATAAATATTCAACAATGTTTACTTGACTGTCTGCTACACGCCAGGCACCGTGCTAGATATTGCAGATCAGTTAAGGAGTCAACCACAGTTCTTGTGTTCAAGGAGCTGCCCCCCTAAAGCAGGGAGAGAGGCATGCATAAAGGAATGCTTACCTTCCATCTAGGCACTATGCTAGAGAAGGGCCCTTAGAGAAAACTACGCCCAAGTGGAGACTCGATGGATGCAAAGGGGTTTACCCTGCAGACAGGAGGAAGTAATTTGGTGTGTGCAGAGAAATGGCGCCGATTTCTGAACAGCGATGGTGAGGTGTCTGGTGGGAAGAGGTGAAGGCGATGCTGGCCAGGTGGTCTGGATCCCCTCCCTCCTAGGGGGCTCGCGCTTTATTCTGCAGATCAGGGTCTAATAAAAGAGCTCCCTTTTTCATCCGCAGGCTTTCTAGATTCACTGTGGGTTGCCGCCTCTACGCAGCCCTCCCTAAATTCTCTTCCTTCTTTAGATTCTTACCATCTGTGCTCTTCTAATAAGTACCCTGGGAAACCCCTCTTTCGGTGGCCATTTGGGTGGCTTGTGTTTTAAGGTGCCCCTCCCCCCAAAGGTGTTAGCCCCTTTGAAGGAGTATCGCAGTGCCTGGTACAGTGTGGGTCCCTGCAGCTCAGACACACCTGAGTCGTTTAACGAGGGTTCCGAAAAGTGGGAGGACGGACAGGTGCTGCTCCTCAGAAGTTACCTCCAAGTCAATGGCGGGCATAAGTGCTCACACGTGGTCCATGGCACGTTGTGCGCCGGAAGTTCCCAAAGACGCTGGAGCGCAGGTAGGTTTTCAAGACCTGAGCAAAGGCTGGGATGATTTCCTGAAACTGGTGACTTTAATGACAAATAAGAATGGTTAGTTTTGCTAATGGATTTCGCTGTGCTCTAGAATTTTTAAACTTACTCTTCTTTCCTCCTTACCTCTCCCTGCAATTCTTCGACAACTGCTTTGATGTCCAGGGGGTGCTGGGAGGAGAGAGGTGCTCTCTTAGGTGAAGCAAACACAACTGTTCATTTCTGCTTTGGCTGGACTGACAGCCAAGTTCTCTGTCTGACTTTCTGGAGTGACCAGTGGCATTTGAATGGGTAGGAGGTGGTCAGTGTGAGCGGAGTCTTCTGTGCCCCAAGAAGGTTGGCTTTTGCAAGGGTGGGGGATGGGGTAAAGCCACAAGAATGTGAAAACATCTTGTGGAACAGCCTGTTCTCCTTCCAAAGAGGAGGGCAGGTGGGAATGAGGGAGCCATTGATCACTGTCCCCCACCCCCCGCCCCCCAAATCTCAGACTGTAGTCTTTGAGGGAAAGCTGTTTAACTTTTATGTCCCTGGAGCAGAGAAGCCAAATCTAGCTGGGTTTGCAGCTCCTGGCAAGTTAAAAAGCGTGCATTTCCACATGACTTGCCGAGTTACACCAAATTGTAATGTATTTAAAAAACCTCCCCGTTGGCCCTGTGGCTGGCTCCTCTGAACAAGGACATTGTGGGGCCTCTGAGCAGCACTCTTAAGTTTATTTTCCAGTGTCTGGTGTTTATGCGCCACTTTGGAGTTGGGTTTTCCCCAGGCCATTGCCTGCTCCTTGAGGGAGGAAGCCTGCGAGCCTCCGGCTTCCTTTGTAACTTCCCAGTTCCTCTGCCCACAGCCTCTTGGAGTCTGCTCACCCACCCCGGTCACTTTGTTTTCAAGTGCTGTGGGACTACATTTCTGATCTTCCTAGGGAAATGAGCATTTGCCTTTGTGTCCGTTGCATAAGAGGTGCAGATGTAGGCAGTGTGGCCTTGGAAAAGCTGCCGAGCCGAGCGCCCTTCAGGACGCGAGGGCCAGCAACGGCTCCCCTCCTAGCGACCTTCCGCCACAAAAGCAATCACTCCACCGACAGAACAGCAGTCCCGAGCACATCTCTGCACCTCCCTCAGAAAAGGCAGTAGGCAGAGCGGTTAGTAAGTTCAAGCCCTCCGTGCCCTCCTCCTAAGCTCTGTGACCCCAAAAGGTCACTTTAGCTCTCTGCTTCCCTTTCCTCTTCTGTAAAATGGGAATAGAAACTGAATCCCGTGCATGGCGATGTTGTAAGAAATAATGAGCCATGCTTGGCACATAGCAGAGCGCTCAAGGCACACTGGCTATGCCTATTAGCAATTGGCTCTCACTAATAGAAAAGATTAGGAGGCTGTGTCTCTTGCACGCCTGGGTGAGTGTGGCCGAGCAGTCCCACGTCGCCGTCCTTCCAGACTCCTACGAGCCCAGCTCTCTCCCGGCCGGGTCCCAGCCGTCTCGCCACGGGCCCGGGTACCTTCGTGATGGCTCAACGAGGTGGACCTGGCGGCGGCCAAGGCGCGAGCACAGGTGCGGCCCTGCCCACAAAGGGCTCGGGTGCGGCGAGCCCAGGTCGGGGGAGGCCGTGCGTGCGGGGAGGGGTGGGGGAAGGTGGGGGGCTGGCCCCGCAGGCCTGGCAGGGGGCGCCGAGGCTGTCGCGAAGGGCGCCGTCTGCACGGGACTCCAGGACACCGCGGAGCTTTTGCACCGAAGCCGCAGCCCCGCCCCGCGGCGCCCCGGGTTGGCTGCTGCCCGCGGCCAGGCGCGGCCATTTGCCACGCGCAGCGTCACTAGCTCTGGGCTCGGCCCCCGCGGGCTGGTCAGGGGGGCGGGGGCCCGAGGTCCTCGACGCCACCGGGACGCCACCGGGCCGCCCCGCCCTGGGAGACGCCCCAGCCCTCATCAAGTGACCAATATCCCTCCCTGGAGAACACGCCTTCAGAGGGAAGCAAGGTCCATCCCGCAGCCCGGCGCCAAACCGCCGTCATCTCCCTTCCTGTGCTGGATGATCTGTCTCCTCACCCACCCGGAAAAACATAGTCCGCCCCGCTTGTCCTTGTGGAGTAGCTCTGGCTTCCCATCATTGTGACTGTCTTAGTCCGCACCCTGTCTTTCCCATTTCAAGACTCTAGCGTCCAGCAAGGGGACAAAGCAGCTCCAAAAAGAAACCTTTTGGGATAAGCGCGAGAGGAACTTGGGGACGGGAACGGGAAGGCGAGGCTGGCGGAGGGACACCGAGGCCCTCGTGCGTAGTGCGCATGCGCGCGTGCAGGAACGAGTTCCGGTCTGGCCCAGGCCTGTCTCCTAAAAATAGCCCCGGTGTGGGGATCCGTGCGCGGATGTCCCGGCGAGTCCGGGGCTGAAGGAGGCGTCTCCGGGCGACGCAGAGCGCTGGTGGCGGGTCCTGGCTGCAGCGTGTGTGCGTCCGCCAGCTGCTCCGGAGACACGGTGAGGGCCGCAAACGGCGGGGCTGGGTCCTCGGGGCCGGTGGTGTCAGGCCCGCGTTTCGACGAGGGGGCCAGGTAGGGGCTGCGGGGCGGCGGGGCGGGATGCGGTGCGACCGAGGAGGGGAGCCCGCCGGCCCCAGGGACACCAGGACAGGGCGGCGTCCGGCTGGCAGGAGGCCGGGGCTCAGGCTCGGGGCGCCGGGGCGGGTGGGGTGCGGGTAGGCGGCCAGAGGGGGTCGAGAGGGGTCGGCACCGAGGGCGAGGCGCCCGGGGAGGTGGGGGCGGGGTGCCCCGAGGGCGGGCCCGGGGGCTGAGGGGTGTCCGGGAGGGACTGGGCAGCGCGGACTCCGCTCGTTGAACCTCCCGGAGCACGCACGGCGTTTGGGGCTGGGGGGCGATGGTGGACGTCACCTTCTTGAAAGTTGAAGGAGTTCCCTGGGGGCCCGGAGCCTCTCCCGGGCGGAACGCCCGAGGGCCCTTCCCGTCATCGTTCGCTCCGAGGCGGGGGTCTCCCCGCGGGGATTGACCCCCAGTGTGGGGGGCGTTCTGCGCTGTCGGGGGACTTGACGAAGTTCCCCCACTTCTGCTTTGGGAGAAGGTTGGTGTAACGGGGCGGACCGTTTAGGTCCGCACTCTCCATGGGTGTAGATGTCAATGGCGGGGTCGGCGTTCGGGGGCCGCGGAGGCGGCCCGGGCCGGGGGCACCTGCGGGTGCCGACCGCGGACCCTGCGGGGAAGCGTCGCGGGGAAGGAGGCGCCGCGTGCTGCCCCGGGCGTCCAAGTATCGCAGACCCGGCTCGCGGGGAAGGGTTTGTGTGATAGAAACTTTGCCTTTGAGCGCGATCTCTTCTGCCTTGGAACAGCGAGAATTCAATTAGTAGGTGACATAGTGCAAACAACTTCGGAAGAGGTGAGCGTTTCTGAGTGAGGAGAACCCCTGTCCCCGTGGAAGTGCGGACTGGACGCGTGGCTGCCGAGATGCGAAGCCAGCCTCCTTTCCCGGTCCGGCAGGGGACCGCGCGTGGCGCGGAGGAACCTGCGTTTCAGTTCACGGTGGGATTGGGCTTCCAGCAGCGGTGCGATCAGAGAGGCCTGCTGCGATGCGGTAACAATAGTGTGTGTATTTTAAAACAAATAGTGTGTCTTTTTTTTTTTTTTTTTTTTTTTTGAGCGCAGTCTGTTTCCTTTGTGTCTTGTATCACGTATTGCTCTATGAAGGGAGGGTTTTCTAAAGCTGTAATTAGGTGTACGTTACACAGGAGTACTTTCCCTTTAAGAATCCAGCTGTGTTGTTTTGGCAACTGCCAAGTACTCCAGTTGTCAGTTTTAAAATCTGTTACCTTGGCAGTACTTGAACAGTCGGCCTGTGGAAAAGGTAAACAAAATAGCTCTAAATTTTTTTGGAAAGGAGAAAATAACTATTGTGCTGTTGTAGCTTTTGTGTGTCTACTGTGTGTGTGTGTGTGTGTGTGTGTGTGTGTGTGTGTGTGGTTTTTTATTTTTGGTGGTGGTTGGTTTTTCTGGTTTTGTTTTTGTTTTTTTTTTGTTTTTTGTTTTTTTTTGGTGGGTATATTTTTGGAGGGCTTAGTCCCCTCATTTCTTTAACTGTATCGTAACTTTTGTTTTAGGAAGAAGTAAAACACGTTTTCACTAACGTGGATGCCTTTTACTTAGACTTTAGCACGTGTAATGACCACAGGTTATGTGTCATAAACTATTAAGATTAGTTTGTTCTATATGGTGATGTTCTAATTGATTTTGGAGTCACTTTCAGTTTTCAGTGAGCATATTGTAAAAAGTTGTGATAATGTTGTTAAAATAACGAAAGTATCCTGAAGAGCTACAACTGGGATTTAAATACTTTGTAGACTCAGTTTTGAGATTAACAATTTGTTTGCAAGATTGTTTCCAATGGAAACTGAGTTACTGAAGTAGTTAATATCTTGAAGTCAGAGTGCCCTCGCGAAACAGATTTGCTTATTTGTTTCATTTAATTCACATGCATATGAAACAATTTTATACATGTGTATAAACATTTTTTTCATATTGGAACAAAGGCGATGAAATTATAGTTAACTAAAAGCACTTTACAGTGAAAGTTAAAAAAAATTAAGTGCTGTGAGTGAGGGGCGGGGGTTGTTCAGTGGAAAGAAAACAGCTCATTGGAGCTCAGAAATAATAAGAGTAATGTCACCATGTTGAATTATGGTTTGAGAATAATCTCTTTTGACGTTCTTAAAAGTTTTTATGTTTCCTTAATAGGTATGTGTGACAAAGATTGTTTTTGGTAAATGCAATTGGAAATAGCCTTTTAAAGATGTTGATCATTTTGGAGCGGTGTTTTATCTTTCAAAACAATTGCATTATCGCTTTGTATTTTCCATTTAGAATGCCATGCAGGTTAGTACTAATTTTATTAATATTTAAGCAATAGCAATATTACTTATTTGGTTACCCAGAGAGAAATAGTGAAGTGTATTCTGAGCGTGGTTAAGTAATTATGGAAATATTTAATAGAACTTGATTTTAAAATTTGAACTATTTCAATTAAATCTTTAGTAGATTTGTGTTCTGATTTACAAGGAGGAAGCTGTAAACAATTTTGTTATTGGGAAGTAGCCTGCTCTCAATTAGGTTTTGGAAAGCCTTTTTTTCCCCCCTCCCTTTGCTGCATTTAATCTGACAAAAGGCTGATGATGGTTCTCAGTTGTCCATGGGCACTTATTCTGTCTGCTAATCAGATCATACTGCCATTTTTCCCCCCAAGATATACTCATGGTACTTATGAATGTTACAAAGTCTAGCTGAAGTTTTTTTTGTTTTTTTTGTTTTTTTTTATCAGTGATGGGACAGTGAAAATACTGCTTTGTGGATTGAAAATGATCAGTAATGCTTTTTTCTAGATTAGAAAGAAAATCTGTGAGCATTCTTAGGAATGGAGGAGTGCCCTCTCAGAGTGTAAAAGTAATGAGAGAAATAGAAATATGGAAAATCAAATCAGCCTTTCAGCTAGATAACCTCCTTCAAAGGGACACTTCAGTATGTGCTGATTTGCAAGTCCTCACGAAGGGAGACTTTCAGTTTGTCCTCAGACCTCGGTTCAGATCTCAGCTGTCCCACTGACAAAGTTATGAGACATGTGTAAAACCCAAAGAAATTACACTACCTGCCCCTTGGAATTGTTAGGGTCAAATGAGATAACTGGCGTGAAAGCGTCTAGTACACTGCCTCAGGCCTAGTGTACAAAAGTGCACACTGCCTGGCCTCCCTTTATTCTTTCCTCCATACATCCCTTCGCCTAGTCCTTGTGTGTGTAGTGTCTGTGAGCAAAGGACCCCATTTCGTGTGTAAGTACAGGAGAATGCACATATATTTGTGTGGGGTACAATACCCACGCCTCTTGAATTCGCTGTCACATCAGACATGAAATGTTTAGTCGGCTGTCCTTCATTAGGGTTTGATCTGCAATCGCTGTTTGATTCTAACCTCCGTAATCTCCCCAAATATTAAAAAAAAGTTAGAGTTAAATATAAGTATTTTTCTTGCTCTTCAGTGAAATGTGTCCTTTAGGAATTAACTGGGTCTTCAAGATACAGTAATTAAAATTTAAAATGAGAAAAAGTTTTACAACAGACCTGGAATTAGGTATATTTTAAAAATAGCGTTTTATTTTTTTTTTAGTAGTGAACAGGGTGGGGCAAGAGCAGGTTTGCCGTTGTGAGTGTGTGAAACAGTTTGTTCTTGTATTATTAATTGTATTCCATACAAACAACTGCAAATCTACTTCTGCCCTACCGCGTATACTTTTTTATACTTCGTTTTATCTGCTTTGTGGAACTAAGTGGTTTTACCTGCGTATGCTTCAGCTGTGCTGTCTGTAATATACGGACCTCCGTCCAGTTTATATAACTCACTGTAAAACCATCTCTTCGTGTCTTGGGCGTAGCATATGATGGATGTTGGCACCTCGTTAATAGGTGCTGTATTTTAATGTAAATATTTGTTATTTAGATGTACTAAATACTACTGATTTTAATATTCGTACTTACTGAATTTAATTCCTATTTCTCAAACATAATATTTTATTTGATATTAGTAAGGGCTTGGTGAAATCATAGGCGCGTCAGTTAAACAGGTGGCCGGTTTCTGGGGTGGAGTGCCCTTGCTGGACCGAGGGTGCGCGACAGCAGGCGACTTCTCTAGTTGAGTCACTGATGGTGCTGAAAGCCAGAGCAGTGGTTGCCGTGGGTGAAAAACAGACACTAGTCAGTAAGACATCTAATAAAGATCGACCAAGGTGCATCTTTTTGTGGTTGTCTTGAATCAATACTAATTTTATTTTCTTCCTTATACAAAAATATGAACTTTAATCTATGAACCTAAAAGAATAAACCCCCTCAACCATCAATAAAATTACGTTTTGGGAAATACTTTCGTAGTGGGTGGCAAGTGTGTACTGCACGAGCTGGATCCTTTGACCAGGTTATTGCTGTTACCAGCACATGCCTATGCAGGTTGAGGTGGATTATTTTTGAGGTGTGGTTTGTGACCCTAGGAACAAAGGGGCGCCCTCCTCATTTGACCTGGGAAGGTAGCTGATGGCTCATTGAAACAAGGTGCTCCTGCATTGACTAAGACGACTGTGTTCACCCCTCTCATGTCTGTTCCCCTCCCTAACAACCCATCTTTTCCATAGACAGGGAAGTTACATTTCTACAATTCAGATCTAAATGCCGTTCTTTTTTAAAGAAAAGCTTTGAAAGCATAGAAGATTAGTAGAGGGGCAGTCATTTAAGGGATAAGAGATTGGGCTTTAAAATCACACTGCCTGAGTGAGAATACCCACTCTAGGACTTGGTGTTCTCTGGCAAGCACTCAATCTTTCTGCGGCTCAGTGTATAAAATAGTGATTATAATATTATCTACTTCATAGACTTGTTGAGATGATTAAATGAGATGTGTATTGTGAAGACTGCAGGGCAATGCTTGGTGCCTAAAATGCAGTAATTTTTGTTCCCTGCCACTGCTGTTGCTATTATTTCAGTCATGGTTCCCTTCTTCATATGATTCTATCG